TCTCTCTCTCTCTCTCTCTCTCTCTCTCTCTCTCTCTCTCTCTCTCTCTCTCTCTCTCTCTCTCTCTCTCTTGTCGTGGCGATATCTTCAGCGTAGCAGGTACGTGGTAACCCAATCTTGTATCGCTCAACCTCTCTCTCTCTCTCTCTCTCTCTCTCTCGGTCTTCTTCCTCGTCGTGGTCTTCCTGCAGGTGTGCGGTGGCTTCTCCAACCTCAAGTCCGCTATGGCGGACTACAGCCTTTGGCGGCCACCTCTGCTATGGCGCATCAGGCCCTGTACACGACGACGCGCATGGAATAGCGGGTACCAGCTCTGACACCAATGCAATCAGACTCGTTCCCATTCACATTTTCCATGCATGTAAACAGCAGCGCAGCAAACTGGCGACATGCGCCTGCTCAAAACTCAGAGATATGGCTTCCAGATACGTGTTCACTTTCAACTGGTTATGGCGACTCAGCGCCCAAACATCTCACTGTTCACACACACCGGATCACCCTGGATATCCCACACGCGTCGCTCTGAACACTCGCACATACACACACACACACTTCACACTAACTACAGCTATGACAGCTATGGCTGCCTCTACCCTATCACTATACTGAGCCCCTTCTCTCTCACCTCCTTCTCTCTCGCCCACTGCGACCTCCGGGCTCACTGCAGACCTCCTTGCACAAGTCCTTGTGACAGCGCTTCCACATGGCTCACGCAGGAATGAATGAAAGGTTGGGCGCTGCTGCTTGATTTATACTTCGGAAATTCATTGGTCTACCCTTTGCCATCAGCCCATGGTGTGCACATTCCCTTGTGGTACTTGTTGGACCGGACTGGGACTGACTGGACCTTACCGCTGACTGTTCGTGGACTCACTGCTATCCTATCGTCGTCGTACTGCGATTGCACTGCAGTTTAGTCCACCACTTGCCTCGCCACTTGACCACTTTCCCACTTGCCGACCTTCTATAAGGACTACAGCTAGACTTCTTGAACTTGCTACGACTTCTACCCCATAGACCTACAGATTGAACCCCTGCTGCTTATGGACCTACGACAGACCTACCAACTGTCCACGAATACATAGGTCACAGGTTCAACGCTCGGGGTCTACATCGATACTGTACATGGGTAGGGTGAGATCTAGGTATCGATCCCTGGATATTGCATCTGCTACTGCTAAAAGGTGAAAACCGTTTTAGTATTTATTTAATAGGAAAAAAATTGTTCCAAAATCGGGACCGCGGCCCTCGCTCGCAGCCGACCTCGGAGGTCGAGATCCAGACCGCGGGCCGAGATTGACGACCGCGGGGGATTCATAGCGATGAGGAACATCGCCGACGCTATGAGGCTTTTACTCGCAGCGTCAATGTTACTGATGAGGATGAGTGGGGACGATCTGCGTTCCCAATTCGATGCGTTATTGTTCGTGCAGCTCACCACGAAGCTGATACTAGTGGTGGTCATGCATCGGTGTTTCGATGCTCGTCGCCATATCCTTCAAGCAGCCACCATCGTCACGGAGAGGATGGGGAAACCTGCCATGACGTTGTCGGACCCGCATCAGTACATCCCGGATTGGGCTGACTGCGGAATCACTTTCCGCCATGACGCCACTCTTATGTCGCCACTGGCCGCGAAAAAGCTGGAATAGTTGGGCACTGGCCCCCTCGAGGATGATGACGACAACACAACCGATGGGGACAAGGATCGGGCACGTGGAGAAGCACAGTCCACATTGCGTACAGGACAAACAACATCACGTCCAATGATGACGTCTGGGGCAGCCGCGCAGTGTCGAAGGACGCAGTCGACGGTTGATGGGCGTCAGTTGGTTGTTGGCCCGGTGTTTGTGAGACTCGTGGCACAAGGGGGTTGTAAGGGGTTACAGGGGACACAAGCAGGGTGTAAGGGGTTTGGAGGGGGACGATGTCCCATGTGGAGGTGGGGGGATGTGCTGGCGTTGTCGCGCCCCCACTGCTCCAAGGGTCCGGTGAGATGTCCTTCCCCGGGACCGGGCTCAGTGGTTTGGAGGACTGGCAGGCTGTCACGCAGGAATTTTGATAGGTATAAAAAATAGAGGTGTGTTCAGAGGCAGTCACACTTTGTCATACAGCCGAGTAGTCGGGGTTATCCCTCCTGCCAGCGGCGACACGACTTAGAGTGAGGCGTTCGGGTTTATCGCCTGCACCTGACCCCGTATAAAGGATAGACTCCAGGTCAGCAGAGTCCCTATCATTCAGGAGTCCTTCAAGCTGCCTTGAGTGTAACCTGTATAAAATAAGGAGGAAAAAATAACAAACATGCATCATAGAGCAATTGACACTAACAAAATGAGAAGACTAGAAACTAGACTCTGCAAGAGTATGATCAGAGATACGAGATTGAAGAGTAGTACACTGAGTATGCAGGGAGCAGCCATTGGAGGGTTGCAGTCACTAATAAATAATAATGTCATAATACATCAATAGTGACTAAAAAGAGAGAACCTCAATCAATGATAATAAGCGGTACCCCCTCATGAGTAAGTGCTGCCGTCTGGGACTCCATATCTGGCGCCTCGTCATTGAGAACTCGCGTGGCTATCGACTCTGGAACCACATAGCTGATGTCGAGAGGCGCTGCTGGATCAATCTTGCAGATGTAGGCCATGCATCTAGCCATCTCCTCGTCTGCGACGCTCCTAAGATAAAGCTCCTCCGCAAGAATGATATCGCCTGAAGCTCCAATCAATATCTCAATACGTCCTCTCCCACTAGAGTAGATGTAGGAAACCTCGAGAAAGCGATCTTTCGTATGTGGTGCCCTTCACTCCTGTTTCTGCCCCCTTCACCGAGTAGGTGATCACGAACGTGTGTCTCGAGGTCGAGGACTCATTAGCCCTGATAGTGAAACTCTGATGTCCCGCATGTCTGTAGCAGAATCTCTCAATCAATCTACCGCACTTAGGGGTAGTCTCACGACGTCGGGCCAACTTGGATGGAATGCACGCTCTCTAATGCAAATACTCCCTCCAAGACCTGGCCAGATGGCAATCAGCAACTCAATGTGGAGGCCTGTTTGAATGGCCTGACTGAACTGCAGCTCGATATAGGGCCCGCCTGAATGGGCCCGGCTGAACGGCAACTCAATATAAGGCCCACCTGAATGGGCCCGACTGAACAACAGCAATCTCAGAAGAAAGGGCCCGCCTGAAGGGGCCTGGCTGAAAATTGCAACGATCTCGAGAGGTGGGCCCGCTCTGAAGGGGCCCGGCTGAACAACAATAATCTCAAGTAGGCCCGCCTGAAGGGCCCGGCTGAACCACAACAATCTCAAGTAGTCCCGCCTGAAGGGCCTGACTGAACAGCAACTGATCAGTAGAACATGTCATGCACAGGGATCAGTCACAAATGTTGAATGTACTGGGGCTAGGCTGAGCCAGGTCATCTGTGCAGGGACTGAACTGCCAATGCTCCCCGTGCGACGGAAGATATCATGTGCATGAGGTGTCGCTGATCAGCAAAGAAGTAAATCAACAGGAGCATGCTGGCAAATCATCTGAGCTAGCAATCCTATGCTCGGGCGCACAAGGAAAACGACAGCATCTAGCCTGGGCGCACACATATCCAGCGCAAGTGCACACGGGCGCGCACTCAAATAACGATATCCAGCCTGGGTACACACGGGCGCGCACTCTAATAGCAATATCTGGCCTGGGCGCACATGGGCGCCCACTCTAACTACTATTCCAGGCTTGGGCGCCCATGGGCGCGCACTCTCAAGCTTGGGCGCGCATGGGCGCGCACTCTAACACGAATATCAAGCTTGGGCGTGCATGGGCGCGCACTCTCAAGCTTGGG